AATTAGTAAGCAAATGTTAACAAAATTTGGCAGATTATCAGTAAACATTACAATGCCTTCATACACAAATTATCAATTTTTTATTTTATTAAGTCTTAAGGTTTGTAAAGCAATGTTTTTCTCATGCTTTTTGTTTTCTTTTCACATGTTGCCTATCTATCATGCGAAGTAATCTTCATTTTAATATTAAAAATACTTTTATGCATCAGAAAATTTTCTAATTTCACATGCAAACTCTTTATAATGTCCAGATAGTTATCAATAATTTCTTAAGAAAAACTTTATAATTTTATCTGTTATTTTCAGTAATTAATCTCTGTACGGGTTGGTAAATTTGACCGATCTTGCAATCACCATAAAAAAATTAGGAAATAAACATAAATTATGCCTCTTTCATTCTAGAATAAACACAAATTATAACATGAAAACATAAATGTTTAGATGAAATAGCTTAAATCTCATAACATTATACATTTATATATATTTATTATATTGACCTTTCACCCATGCCTAGCTAACAATACAGAAGTTACAACGACGTGGCTCACATGCACTTATGTTACCATATCAAATAACATAAAAGTGACTTTTTGTCTATACAAAGTAACTTGACTTGGCTGTGTTTTAGTCACATTTACAGTCACATTTCAATTATTATACATTATATATGTATATAGAATATTGCTATTTTGAAATACGTTCTTAAAGCTATTTTTCCTAAAACATAGAACAGTAAATAAAGAAGTAAAGCAAACAATTATCTCTTCCTTTGTCCTCAGTTGCTGCTTGACGTAGGTTGCTAAGCCTTTAAAAATTTTGCACGTGGAGGATGTGAAACAAATATATTTTTTTAGGTTTTATATATACTTTTGAATAACTAAAAAATCATAAATTACTACATCAATACCATAGAATTATACTGTATTTGAGTCTAAAAAAATATGAAATTTCGAGCAGACTAAAGACACAACCTACCTCATTGAAATCTTGGTTCAAAAGAAAGAAATGGCATTAGTTACGTTAGAAATACTGAGAAAACCACTAGGGGAACATTCTGAGCTTCTGATTGGTTATTCATTTCATATATAAAAGTAACTGTATATAAGGGAGAGTTGCCAAAAATGGAAAGAGGTGAGTGGGGTGCCACTTTGTTTGATTTATTATGTGAGCAATATCTTGGCAAATAGAAAAGATAAAACATTCTTATTTTATATTCTAGCTTGCCAATATCTGTAATTTGAGTTTCTAATTTGTATGAAACTACAGACTTAGTATTTTGACTTTGCAAACATCTAATTTGAACAAGTGCTGCATTCAACATACCATGTGACACACAAAAATAACAGATAAAATATAAAGATTTTCTGAAGAAAAAAACGTTTATTATTTATTTAGGATATATTAGAGATTATGCAAATGAAATTTGAAAGTTTTCAGATGAAGAAAAGTATTTTTAATCTTAAAATGAAAAGCACTTTGCACTTGGAGCAGTCAACACTCTGACTCCAAATTTTTAGTAAAACTACTTAATTAAAAAATTTTGATTTTTTGTATAGAAAAGATTTATAATGTTTACTAAAAGCCCGAATAAGCTTGTGACAATGCAAAAAACTTGTTAAAAGTTATAGCATGGAAACTGGTGGTCAGTGTAATCCACTGAGGCAGTGGGGAAAGGGTTAAATTGGCACAGTGTACCAGGTTTCATTACTATTTCAAGTTTTTCTATGTTCAACCTATAATGACTGGACTGTTGTTGAATGACATAGAAAGCATATGGCAGGTTGTGTTTCACAACAAATTTATCACCACTTGACTGATATTGTGACCATGACAGTATGCTTTACTGCAGATTTTTGTGAATCTTTAAAGGTAGTGAAAAACTTTAACAGGTAGCTAGTTACATAAAGTTTCATCTATTGTGGAATGTGACAACAGGATTAAAAAATTCTGAATCAGTAAAGGGGACAATGAAAACTTCAGCATTTAATGTCATCTTTACCAATTATTAACCAGAATACAACACAGAAATTACCAGAACTTGCTTCATGTAACTAATTAGATATATTTTCTAATAGTTATTAGATTAATAACAAATGTTCAACTGTTTTTTTCATCAGTGATATTATGTTGGTGATAAGCAAAAAATCAGTCTACCTACTCATATTTTAAACCCAGGGTTGGAAGAGAGGAAATAAAAGATATTTTTAAACATGTTTTTTAAATTTAACAGATTCATTCCTTGATTTAGAGTTATTAGGGGACAGCACGCGAGTAATCACTGGAGCTGCAGACAATACTTGCAGGATTTGGGACCTTGAGACTGGTAAGTTATGTAATTTATTAGTGTTTTTGTGATCTTATGTAAACCTAGTAGGTTTTTCTCATATCGTCTACCCATTTGTTCAAAAGGATTACAATTGTGAACTTAAAATGTTAGTTTCAGGGCATGATGCTTCATTCAGAGACTTGGAATGTATGGAAAACAAAGGTGCATCTATACACTTACCTGACATCATATGCTGTATTACTGCTGACGGCTACTCATTCCACTAAAGACCATGTTACAAAAATAAACACTTTTTGACTGGACCATAGCATGTCCCCCCCCCCAAATTTTAAACTTATGTTCTCTTGTCCTGTTTTCTTTTATAATTTAGTACTAAGAAACCAGAGATCATTATCCTGTTGATCCCTAGTTAATTTTGTAAGATCACCTCTTACCCTTCTTTTCAAAAGAGAAAGTAAAAGGTCTTAACCCATCTACATAAGATAATCTTTCCATCATCTCTGGAATCATCCAAGTAAGTCACCTCTGAACTCTTTCTAATATAACAATATCCCTTCTTCAAGTTGCATGGCCAGTAGTTTTTAAATGTTGAACTACATAAAAATACAGGTAATTTTTCGTCAGTGTTTTGTCACATTTTACATAAACAGAGAAAATAGTCATCATATGTGTAGTTTGGTAGGAGTATATGTTTTTGTTTTAATTATGAATTTTATCATTATTCATCACTGAACTATATATATATATATATATAAGGCAAGTTTTCTAATAAGTCATGGTAAACTCCCAGTTTCTACTCTGAACCATTTCTCGACAATTTTTGGAATTGCTTCTGTCAGAATGTTTTCCACCACCACAACCTAAAAAAACGTTTTTATTTTCTTCTGTTCAGAACGTGGGGTGTTAAAGCAGTTGGTTCATGTCCACAGATGGCTGTAGAATCATTTTGAAGTACTTCAAATGGCATTTATGTAAATGAAACACATACCATTAAAATATTAAGATACAAATCTACCAATTACAAATAGGTGCAAGGTGAATATATGCTACACAAATGTTAATATGTTCTGCTGACACAGGAATTCTGTGCGACACAAAACTCAAATTTATGAAATAAAGTTCCAGAATATTGTGATAAAGACTTGTGCAGGCTATTTGAAGAAATTAGAAGTTATTTAGAAGCTGAGCTACCTGAATAATGGCTCTTATGGGTTTCAGAGGTTCCCCAGAGTGCCTTTTTCTTAGGTAGGGAGATCAAAACTCTACACAGCATTTGAAATAAGACCTAACTGGTGATTTACTTTTAGTTTTACTACTAGCAACAGAGCATTTCTTCGCTGACTTCAATATCCACCACTTTGCCACAATCCTTTTCTTCAGTCTTGCTATTGAATGGTTTCCCATATATATATTAAAAAATATGTGACTCAAGTTATGACAACAAAATGCATTACCTTGTGCTTACTATAATTGATCATTTGTCAATTGCACATCTTACCAACTAGTCCAAGTCATTTTGTAGTAGCTCAACATCGTCAGTTCAGACAGAAGTATTGAAGTATTTCATGTCATTAGCAAAACTTACTCATTTACTGATTATTTATTTTATCAGTGTCTTTATTGTAAGTAAGCAAAAGCAAATGCCCAGGTATTGACTCCTGAGCCACACCACTAGTATTAAAAAGTCCAGTTTGAATTAATATTCTCACGAATGTTTTACTTTCTGTCTTTAAACCTATAAACCAATTAACTTGTCTTTTCTGAATACCCAATAATCTAAAAAAGTACTTAGTTAAAGCAATAAATCTATTAGTACTAAGATAACTTGTGATTCTTAATATTGTATATCATTCTCTGTTGTTCAGTTTTAGCCTGTGTTTCAAATATTTGTCATTTTTGTTTCAGGAACAGAAATAACCACAATCTCCACAGAAAATGCTGTGAGGAGCTGTGGTTTTTCTTACAGTGGTAAACAGATCATGTACACCACTGACAAGTCTATGGGCTTTGAGAGTTCTGTATATGTCTTTGATTTAGAAGCTGGAAAGCAGTTATGTAAGTTGTTAGCTACAGTTTTCAAAATATTTACCCAAAACCTTGCTGTGTCCAAATGTTCAAAGTACTGACAGATATTTTTTAAGTTATTCTGCATATTAAAAGCTATTTAATGGTTTTTCTGTTTAATTAAGCATCAGGACTTGGGGATGTATGTTTTTGAGCATTTAGCACAAGTAATTTAACTATTAATAGGTCATAACTATGTATTATATATTTAGTATTTCATGTTTTGACATAGTTATTCCGAAACATTACTCTCCTCTCCACAGAATGTATAGCTAATGCCTAGTGCAACTGCCTAAAATTTTTATGCATGAGCCAAACCTTTAAATCAAATTGACATCCCCTACATGTAACAAAATGTACTGTGCCAGTCTATGATGCATTCTACCTCTTCACCATAGGAGGGGACACATCCTCCATGAACAGTACTTCCCTTAAGCACTTTGTGTATATCAAAAGCTCATTGTTTTCCTTAGCACTGCAGTGTTTGTTTATATGTTATTTTCTTTATGAATTATAGAGTTTTTACACATATTATTTTCAACTTTTTGTTCATTAGCATTTGAAGTGTCATCTTTCTTACCCTCATTTTCTTGATTTCATGAAAGAAAGATACAAATTTTTAAAATTCGAGATCGACTACAGTTTCTGCCATGAATTATTATCTTTTTTTTATATTAATTTGATTTCTTTTCTTTATGAAGTTACATGTTCCTGAGTTTATGGTGTGGTTTATTAGATAGGAATATTCCCCATTGTTACCAACCCACAATTAGAGTTTCACTACTTAACCTGTATTTTGTCAAGCACCACGAAATAATAATAATTATTGATTACTATTAATTCAGTTTCATCATTCTTATTGAACACGACTTCTCATATCCAAGTTCCAAACTTTCCTTTAGAGGTGTTGTCTTTTTTTTTTTATTAATGACAACTGGAGTTACTCTGAGATGAGCAATGTGTTATCACCAACATACATCATGTAGTTAATTCTATCCTGTGTTCTTTGTTTCGGACCAAGGACTCACGGCCTCTTCTTTCTATAACTTTTGTTGAGCTTGGTTTGTGTTTGGATGTCCTGACCAGCTCTTCCCACAACCTTTCCTGCTTCTGGTCTTCTATCCCTGATGAGGTTCATGTAGCACCAGCATTTGTCTTTTGCTACTCTGATAACTCGTGTGATATCTATTCTTTTACTCCAAATGTTTCTACTGGTTCTCAGGGGAGCTTCTTGCATGCTCCTCAACTTATGAGATTATTTTTCGATTTTCCTGCCTCACCTGATCATATTATTATTGCAGATTCCTCCCTAAACTTAAGAGTTTTTCCCCTCTGTGGCCCATGATTGGAATTCTTTGTCCTTTCTTGTGCTCCCATCCCTTGAACTCTTTTTCTTCATCTGATACTTCGACTCTCTCTCTTACCATCAATCTGCTTGTCCTCATCATATGCTTACTCACCTTCTTAGCTTGCTTTGTCTCTGCCCTTTTGAGGTTCTGCATCACTACCCAGTCAGTTTTACTGGGGGACAATTGCACTAAACTTTTCTTCATGCTGCCCAGTTTTCTTCTTCTGCTGTTGCTTAGTTCACATGCTTTCTTTGTTTCGGGGATTTACTTCATTCGGGTGGCTTCTTTTTCCTGGAAATAGAATCTCTCAGTTTTAATTTGGGGAACTGGTTTCTCTCCTCTTAAGAAGTCAGCCATTGCAGGTCTTGGTGATCATTTATGTCTGGAACTCATTTCTCAGCTTTGCTCCTATGAGGGCTTGACTCTAACACTTTACAGAAAACCCTGGCACACTCCATGAATTTTCCCCTTGAGATAGTAGTGATATCCTACCAAGTAACGTTATCACTAGGTCCCCCTTCTAATAGGGTGGCACACTCCATGAATTTTCCCCTTGAGATAATAGTGATATCCTACCAAGTAATGCTACCACTAGGTCCCCCTTCTAATAGGGTGACACACTCCATGAATTTTC